CTGGCTATGCCCCCTCCAGACGCTCCAGATATGCCTCCTGCACCACCTCCAGCTGTGCCACGCTCCAATCCACCTCGAGGCTCTCGCCCTAAGCGCTCTTTGAACTGGAATGCTCTAGAACGCGATAACACCGCTCCTGCTCACTCCAGAGTGTCCCCTGCTGCCCAGACTCCTCCGCCACCGTCTCCGGCCTCTAGTCCCGATCCATTAGCTCTAGGCTCGCCTCCAGCCGCTCCTGCTCTTGACTTGGAGCCTGCTCCTGTCTCTGATGATGACGATGAGCTTAGGTTGCCTGGAGCGCTAGGAGAGGACTTGGACTCTGCTGAGGCCATGTCCGCTGCTATGGAGCAAGTCCTGACTGGCCAGGTCATCGAGTACTGGTCCTGGGAGGAGGCAGCAGAGTTTGCTTTCGCGTCTCTGGCTGAGAGCGCGTTCAAGGGTGCTGAGCATGCTGGGGAGCCTCGGACTTTCCATGAAGCGATGCTGTTGAGATCTGATGACTTGGTCACTCTTTGTTGACTGAGTGGCTCATGGAATGGCCTAGGCCCTTCTGGCCGAGTTACCTTGTTCTGAGCCACTCCCTTTGTTGTGAGCCACTCCCTTTGTATTCCTTGTATTCCTTGTTATCCTTGTTCTTCTTTGTATTTCAATGTCCCCTTGTTCTGTCCTTGTTCTTTGATGCCCTTGTATTCTACAGTATATAAGGGCTCCCTAGGTCGCTCTGTGTCCCCCAGTCTTGACACAGTTTGACCTAGCCCTTGGGTGTTGTCTGAAGCTAGTATCTTCCACTGCCAACAGGTTATGAGCCCAATGCTCTAGATCTTCAGACACCCATCTCTGCCAGTCCTTCACTGTTGTCCTTTGTGCCACTGAGCCACTGAGCCACTGAGACTCTTTTGTGCCACTGAGCTACTGTCCATCACCACTGCTAGACCCTTCTTGCCTGGCTTCCTGCTTTCATCATGTTCCAATCATCATCTTCCAAATCCAACCTCCTCTGCTCCTACTGTGGTATCCCTGCCTCCCACACTGAAGCCACTTGTTATAGGAAGCAGAAGGACAGTATCAGAGCGAAGCAGGACCTCTCAATGCGTCTTAGCAGGAAGCAGACATTCTCTGGGAACTGTGGTATGAGATCTCATCAAGGCTCACTCTTTTCAACTCCTGCTGGGCAGGAAGAGTTTGCTGGGCATGCTGCAGCATTGCTCTCGTCTTCAGAGCGTTCTGCATGGCTCCAGACCTCATCAGCCACTCACTGGAACACAGACACTGGTGCTTCAGCACATATGACTTCACATCGTCACTGGTTCCAATCTTACTCTCCCCATCGCATTCCCATTCGCTTAGCCAACCACCAGATTATCTATTCAGCCGGCTTAGGCTCAGTCGAGTTTCACCCTTGTATAGATGGCAAAGAGTCCCATCCAGTCCTCTTTCATGATGTGCTCCATGTCCCTGACCTTGGCTCCAATCTCCTATCAGTCTTTCACCTCACTCGTGAAAAGGGCTTTCTATGCGAAATCCAAGATGCCCATGCCAAGTTCTACCTCCAAGGTGCCTTGAAGTTCCAGGCCAAAGTCAATGATGCCAACACAGGCTACCTGGAAGGGCGGACTGTCTCTGCTTCGCACTCTGCCCATTCTGCACTCAGCACACTACCCTTGGACCTGGATCTATGGCATAAGCGCTGCTCCCACACCAATCTAGAGGACTTGCGTCAAGTGGTGTCCAAACAGCTTGTTTCTGGCCTTACCATCCGCTCTACTGTTGCACCAGACCCTATATACGAGCCTTGTCTTGCTGGCAAGATGCACAGGCACAATGTACCCAAGACAGCCTCCAGGACACAGCACAGACTCGCTCTTGTTCACACAGATCTCAAGGGACCTATGCCTACTGCGACTTCAGAGGGCTATCTCTACTGGATTGTCTTTGTAGATGATGCTTCGCGTTTCTGGGCTGTCATGTTCCTGCGTCAAAAGAGCGAAGCCCTGAGCGCCTTTAAGACTTTCAAAGCCTATGCAGAAAATGCAACTGGCTGCAAGGTCAAGATCCTGCGCGATGACAAGGGAGGGGAGTACAAGAGCAATGCCTTTGATGTTTTTTGCGCAGAGCATGGGATTCAGCGCCAGCATACAGAGACAGATGAGCCTCATCAGAATGGAGTTGCAGAGAGGGCTAATCGCACCATAGCAGAGGGAGCGACCACCATACTTCACCAAGCTAAGCTTCCTCCCTCATTCTGGGCTCGCGCTGTCAGCACTTTTGTGAGGACGCGCAATTGCATGCCCACAGCTGCCTTGAACGGCGGTATACCCTTTACTGCATGGAAGGGAAACAAGACCAAGCCAGATGTGTCCTATTTTCGCATTTTTGGTTGTTTGGCCTATGTGTTGATCAGGAAGGACCAGAGGAAGGCTTTACAGCCTCATACTCGCAAATGCATCTTTGTTGGCTATGCTGCTGAAGCAAAGGCTTGGGAGTTCTGGGACCCTGTCACGCAGAAGTTTTATATCAGCAGCAATGCTGTCTTCGATGAAAGGTGCTTTCCAGGCAACTCCAAGTCGATCAATGTCTTTGGATTGCCTCTATCTGATGTAGATATCCCTCACACTGACGGTGAAGAGGTTTCTGCGCCTAACAACCTCACTGGACTGCTGCCAGATCAGGGGGAGTTGACTCTGATGATGATGATCTGCCAGCTCACTCGTCCTA